TAAAAATTGCAGGATCTTGCAGATCTTGCAGATCTTAACGTAAATCTAAACAAACGCCAAAAATAAAGAAATCATAATAACGCAAAATTTTACTATGACAATCAGCCTTTATTTCTAAGTAAAAAATGCGTAGTATAAAATTTTACTTATAGAAAGAGTTTTTTATACTAAAAATATATATAATATTATCAAAATTGTGTGTTATATCGGATATAGATCATTTTCTTGACATAAAGAAATCCATGTTGATATCACACAGATCTGCATGCAATTTTTAACTTAACCAATCAAATTTGAATTCTTAAAATTACCCGAAATTAAGCACCTCTACAGTAACAAAGGGTGCTTAATTTCGGAAGTATACGGTATTTAAAAATTAATGTTATTATATGAGTGCATGAGAGTGAAAACCTGGAAACTGATTATAGTAAATCATTAAATCGGGTTTCAGGTTTTTACTCTCATGCACTTATATCGATATCAATATACATATCTACTTCCAAGTTATATTATTTAAGAAATATGATGGTAACACTACAGATAAAATTGCAGATTTCTTAAATTTCTAAAATTATGTGAAGTTCTGTGGTGATAAAACCGTAATTGTGTGATTTAAGTATAATTATGTAAATTCTGTAGTGTTATGTGAAACACAGAAAATCACTGGCCCTGCGCGGTATACATAAATATGCATCTACTAATGAAAATCTAATTGTGTAGCAAAAGTAAGTCGTAACGGTGAGCTTTTTTTTAATCATTCTTTTTAAAAGTTTTTTTTAAAAAGCTGATTACATTTATGACTCAAGACAATTAAGCAAGACAAGTGTCTTTATATATTTAAGTTTAAATAAGACAAAACGTAAAGCATAAATAAATTCTACTTGTGGTATTAGTTCTTTTGTTTAATAAAATATAATGCAAGAAGTTTTTATTTTACTGATTTAACGAAATTTTTTGAAAATAGAAGGTACAAAATTTAGTAAAATTAGTTTTTATTAAAGTTTGATACAAGCAAATCTAGTTCTCAAGGTTTAATATGCAATTCTAAAAATTCATCATATCTTACAAGTTAAAAATAGTTAATTTTCTTTACTAGCTTCTAATTCTTGTAATCGCAAACATTTATTGGATTAGTAAAGACAACAAACACTGTTTTAGTACATTAAATACCTTCTCTTGATGATTAGCGTTAGTAACTGCACATTATTTACTTGAATTGGCTAACAATGTTTTTTTTTTGTTAAAAAGAAAAATAAAGTGTTTAAAAGATTTTTTTTTACCTGAATTTTCTTTTTCAAATATGTCTCGTGCTGGTGGCAAACCAAAACATCATTTAAGTGAACATTTTATTGTTTTAGATGAAAAAGTAAATTGTACAAATAAAGCAGCTGTCTGTAAATATTGTATTGAATACTATGGTCATCAGCAAGCACTTTTGACAAGCAAAGTTACAAATGTTGTAAATTCTTGCTTAGCTCATCTTCATAAATGTTCACATTTTTCCAACAAATTTTCAGCTGATGAAATCGACCAAATTCTTATTTCAACAACAAAATTAAAGCAAAAAAAATCTTATCAAAAAGAATTAGACAAGAAAATGATGATAATGAATCTATTCAATCATTTACAAGTAATTCAAGTTCAAATACTAATTTAGAATTAAAAATAACTTCTAGTTCAATTCGACAATTAAATAACAAAGATCAACAAATATTTAATATATTACTTCTTCATATGACTGTATCAAATGGTTGGGCATTTCGATGGGTAGAAAATCCAGAAACTAAAGCACTTTTTTCATGGCTTAATCTTTGTTTGCCAAGTTGTCGATCATTATTAAATAAAATTTTAAAAGAGGCTACAAAAGAAGTAACACAGACTCAAATTGTAATGACGCAACAAGATCTACAAGAAATAACTGCAGCTTTCGATGGATGAAAAAATATTATCAAACAAAAATTAATAGGAGTAGTATTTCTTACTTCAAAAGCAGAAGTATTAATATGGGGTATCGAAAATATTAGCTTTTCAAGAGAATGAACAGAAGAAGTAATTACTCATCACAAAGAACTTCTTAAAAAGGCTAAAAATCAAAATATAAAAATAATTGCTTTTGTTACTGATTCAGCCGCCGAAAATACAGCTGCAAGGTTAATTTATGTAAATTTATATTTATATATTTTTAAAATTTATTAAAATATTTTTATTTTTAATTTAGATGTAGATTGCAATTGCGAAGACATGATATATTGTATTTACCTTGTTTTGCACATCAGGCAAATTTATGTGTAGCTGATATTTTTAAAAGTAGTACAGATTATATAAAAGTGTCAATGGATGCGTGTTCACTTCTTTCTTTTTTCAATTCATCAACTTATTGGCTTGGACAACTTCAACATGAGCAAATACTTACTTATAATAAATGTTTTGCATTGATTCGTCCTGGAGAAACAAGATGGAACTCATATTATTACTGTTTTGACAGTATTATTAAATTCAAAATAGCTTTGCATATAAGTATAATGATAATTTTTATAATATCAATATAAAATTTTGTACATATTAGTATATATCAACTTTAGGCAAATGTTAACTACAATAAATACAAGTTATAACCAGAATATTTTAAAGTTTTAGCTTAATTAACTTATGCTAAATAATCTAATATCAATATGCTTATTTTAAATTATAATGTATATATACTTATATATATATATATTTATAATTTATTTAATAGACCTTTGGTGAAAAATATGATATTAATAACACTCCAATGGATTCAAGAACTGATCAAAAATATCTTCCTGAAAATATTATAAATATCATAAAAAATGAAACCTTTTGGATTAATATATTAAATCTAAAAGAGATTCTCTTACCATTTTGTCTTTGTCTTGATAAATTACAAAAAAATAATGCAAGGCTTTTTGAGATATTGCATTGCTTTGGTTGGTTTATGAAGGTTGTTAAAAATTGCTTTAATATAGAATTTCATAATACTATAATTACTCGCCTTGAACGTTATTGGAAAATGTTGGAACAACCTTTATTACTTTTTTCATTTTTGCTTCATCCTAACTACCATCATGAAAATAGCAAATATTAGTTATGTTGATTTAGGGCAATGGATTATTTATTACTATTCAGTTTGGTTTAGCCAAACACCTACGTCAATATTATGTGAACTTGACTTATATCATATCCTTTTAATGCTGCTTCATTTAATAATTTTAATAATGATGTGCTTGGTTACTGGAAATTTATTTCTTCAAACTCTCAATTTGAATTAGCTAAACTAGCTTGTTATATTTTTGCTATTGCAGTTAATACAGCATCTGTTGAACGATTATTTAGCTCTATGGGTTTTCTCCATTCTTCAAGAAGAAACTGATTATTTAATGACAAAGTTCTTTCTATGTGTTAGCTTCAAGGAGAATTACATCATGCTCATCAGTTAGCTAAGCTTAGTAAAGTTGAGAAGCAATACAATAACATTATAATAACTAGATCCAATCAAACAAATGAACTTATTCAGGATTATTCACAAGAAACAGTAGATGACTTGGATTCTGAAAGTAAAAATGATAAAAGTGATGACGATGATATAGAAAATGAGGATACTATGCATAAGGTCATTAATGAATGGATAGAAATGTTGGATAATGAGAAAACAGAAGACAAAGAATATAGTGATATTGAGGCAACAATCAGTCTTTAGATGATTTACTTAATCAGAATTATCCATGCCAAGACCAAAATGCAAAATGGTTGTTAGAAACTTTATTTGATTCTGGATTAGAATTGCCATTTGGTATATATTTAAACTTTTTTTTTTTTTTTACAATTTAATTTAATTTTTTTTTTTTATGTTAATATAGAACCATTATAGTTAATTCGCTTGTGTTTGTTATCAAAAAGTTGAAACTGGATGATCATTTATTACTTTCAAGAATCAGCAGAAATAAAATGTCATGTGATGGTCTCAGGTATATGCTACTTGAAAAAAAAATCAACAAAAATGAAATATATTAACAATATATATGGTGGATTAAAATTTTTTTGTTACATAAATATTATAGCATATATTATCATTATGTCAAATTTATTTTTATATTTTAAAGTTGCTTGTTAGTATGAATAACCTGGTTATTATAGTTTTAAATTCAATAAACTATTTGATTATAACAGAAGTCATATATATTTTTTGCTAATATTGTCATGTCCCATATATCGACCTGAAAAACTAGTATAAATAAAATCGCACAAAATAAATAAACTTATTTCAAAGACTTTACCAATTTCAAAATTCTCATAGTATGTAATTCATTTATTAAATCTGAAAATAGACCCATTAACAATATTTTGTTTAAGTTAAACTCAAAAAATTTAAACACTAAGTATCTTCAACAGTTCAGATAATTTAGATTAGTTTAATATTGACATATAAATCATACTCATTACAGTGAGCTTTAAATTGAAGTATTAGTTAAATACAAATAACCTTCTCTTAACATAAGCTATAGTGTTTTCTACTTATCTCAGTGGCTTTACTATAACTATATTAAATATTTCTATGCCTTTGACTATTCTTTTGAATAGCCGAGAAACTAGCTGAGCCAAATTCTCAAGATTAAATTCTTCAACGTCACACTTGATTCTGTTTGAAAATTGTACATATTGAATATCTATCACTATTCTATTGGTTAATTATATGCACGAGTTTGTTTATTGTTCATTTGATCCTACCCTCAATAAACAATGAACAAGCCCCTCAATGGATAATAGTTCATTTGTTTAGTCCATTGAAATTGACAACACTGCGCTAAAATATTTTTTGACTCATTTTCGTGTAATTACTCTAAATATCACGTGGGTACATTGTTTTAATGTTATTTTCATATTTTCATGATACTTTACAAATAAATTAATAAATTTTTATTAGTATCAATTTAAATATGCAAATAAAAATGAACTTTAGTTATCCATTCCTCAGCACGTCCAAATTAGGTTCAAGTTTAACTCGATATGCATTGTATTTTTTTTAATCATATTGCTGCATCTAACAATGCAAATTCTTTTTTTAAGTACGTACATACAAAGAAATTCTCACAATAACACAATAAACGCCTCCTCATCTATTGTTTAAATATTATTTAAAATATGTTGTAAATGAAAAATAAAAGTTCTCTAGACAATCCTCTAGACAATCCTCTGAACAATTCTCTGAATGATCCTCTGAACAATCTCAATAAATTTTTTACATTAAAAAAAAAAAAAAAAAAATTGATACGTATGTCCTCTTCTCTTGAAACCCCGAATGCATATGGTGACGATGAAGAATATATACTGCTCTTGACATTTCATCAGCACCTTTTGGAATCAGATAATAAGGATGAAGATGAAGGATTGGAAATAGAGACAAGCAGTGTAGCCAAAAAAAAATGTAAATCAACAGAAACCTTGCAAAAAAAATTGACACCACCACCTGTCAACTTCGAACCATTTATTCATCCCAATCATTACACCAGGCATTCGTTCGCTTGCTACCACATCTTGATATCGGTGTCTCTAAACCGATTGATTTTTTTTTTCTTTTTTTTAAACTAACCATGTTGAATACCATCGTTGATAATACAAACCTTTACGCACTAAAAAAAGGAGCAGGTATCACTGGTAGGAAGTGGCTAGACTTAAGCCGCAAAGAGCTTATCATATGGATTGCTTTGGTAATTTACCAAGGCCTTTATAAACTACCCTCTCTTGACCAATACTAGAATGAGGACAGAAAATTTCTCATTCACCAAATTTCCAAACAAATAATATTGAAGCATTTTGAATTAATTAAAAGGTTTTTACATGTTTTCCCCCCTGGTGCAATAATTAAAAATTACTTTGATAAGTTAGAACCTTTGCTTTCACACGTCCGAGATGTTTCGAAGCAGCTATACATACCAAATTCGAACGTTTCAGTTGATGAGATGATTATTCGATTTTCTGGAAGGAGCATTTACACTTTTTGAATTAAAAACAAACCAACCCCCGAAGGCTTTAAAATATTATCTCTTTGTGAATCTGGGTACACCTCATAGAAGGACTTTCGTCTGATTGGCTGATGTAAATCAATTGCCCGGGTAACTAATTTATACAGTTTAAAGTACTTTTTCAAACTGCAACGTTTCACAATTTTACTTATAAAAAACCAATTTTTTTTTTATAATTAGGTTTAGAAGAATATTGCCCTTTGCTATACAAAATAATCTCAAAATAATCTCAAAAACAAAGGACTTTACTTAGAACCGAAGTTACTATGTATATTATTACGTTTTACAATTTGTAAAACAGGCATACAAGTTATATGCAAGTACTGATTGCAAAAAAATAGTCAAGTAAAGAGAACGATCAAGATGTTTATAGTAAGGTAAAGTTAGATTTGAAAAATAGACTTTCACAAGCTATATATTAATTTATCATATTTAGGTTTCGATTACTTCTTTTAATAAAACTTTAATACTTATATTACTTTATTTTTGTTTAGAACTTACTAAATAGATAGATATAATATCACTTTAGAATAGATAATACATGTATATTGATTACACAGGTCGAAAGATAAAAAATCAGGCACAAATCAGGTACCCGATTTTAAACTGATTACTACCTGATTACTACCTGATTTATGCATATTTTTGTACCAAATTTTTGGTACAAAAATATGCATAAATCAGGTGCCAATCAGGTAGTAATCAGTTTAAAATCAGGTACCTGATTTGTGCCTGATTTTTCATCTTTCGACCTGTGTTAATAATATAAAGACGGTAATGCAATAGTTGTAATAACTAAAAATAGAATTATTATTTAAGAACTTTTACTTGAATAAAAAATGAAATTTTCTTGTTTTTTTTTTTGATAGATACAAATACGAATACTTAATAATTATATATAGTATAAGTGATATTGCTAATTAATATATTTTGAGAGTAGTAACGCTCTAGTAAAGGCAGTAATAATTAAAAATAGATTTCTTTGAATATATAATTTATAAAAAATAATAAAAAATAGTATATAAGCTTCACTGGTATAAAGTAGGTATAAAGTTTCATCTCTATTATCATTATTTGATCGACTAATTATCACAACTTGATTGGTTAATTATCACAAAAAATTATAGATAGATCTGTGAAAATTGACCAATTATATGAATGTCTTCCTATGAGGGTACACCTACACCTTCTTGCCAACATCGTGTGTTTCTCCAAGTGAAGTGACAAAAGTGAGTGGCCTTAATCAAATTGGATGTCAGATCTACCATTTTGTTGAACAACTTCTCTATCATCAATTTTCTTTTAATGTATACATGGATAACTATTTTACTAATGTTCTTCTTTTTCATTGCTTTCGGCAAATTGGTATTGGTGCTTGTGGAACCATTCAGAAAAATGCCTCTGGTTTTCGAAAGAGTTGAAAGTGAATAAAAGTGAAAAACTTGAGTGAGACATTTATTCTGGTGTTGCAATAAATGATATGCTAGCTGTTTTTTGGCAGAACAAATGGGCCTGTTACTATGTTATCAACAAATTCATGGGTTATCTGGTGAAGAATAGAAAGTGGAAAAGAAAAGACGACAACCAAGGGAGACAAGCACAAATGCAATAAAAGTGCGTGCAGTTTTTGGTTGAGAGTCAAAGAAAATTTCGAAAATCCCAAAAATAATCGACGATTACAATAACTGCATGAATGGTGTAGACATTGCGGACCAATTACGATCATACTACAATACACAACAGGTAATGCAGGGAAATTGGATCTCACTTTTTTTTTGGCTCCTAGATACTTCAATAGTCAATACATATCGAATTGTTCGAACATTGGGTTCTACACAAGAGCACAAAAATTTTCAGCATAAACTTGTCTGGGATTTAATTAATTTTGCAAATGACACAGGAGAAGTTCAACGTAGAAATAGCATAAGGTCAGAAAAAGCAATGGAATCAAAAAAAGAAACAAATAACGAAGTACTTTGAACTCTCAGATCAAAGGCTAGTACTTGAAAACCACTTAGCAGAGTGGAGAGAACTATGTGAAGCATGTTTGTGGTGCATGTGGCAAGCACACAAAAATAAAATAGTTATGGATTGTAAAACACCACATAGAAGTGTGTAGCATGTGAGGTGCCCCTTTGTTGTAATATCAACAGAAACTGTTTTTTGGAATTTCATACCCGCAAATAATACAAGGCTTTAATAGCCTTATTTGTGCTTTAAAATACATGGTTAAAAAATTATTTGAGTGGCTTGTTCACGTGAGCTTATTATCAAATACCTTCGATGATCGAACATATTTTTAGTGTGATCAAAATTCGATCACACTAAAATATGTTCGATCAATGAACATATGCTCAATATTAACTCGGCGCAATAAAAAAAAACACCAAACGTGACATATGCCAATTTATAAATTGTACTATATAATAGGGGGTCTGGTTAACCTAGGTGGTCCAAAAATCCAGATTGTATAAAACATTTCACTACTGCAGTAAAAATAATTTATTTGACCCGAACTTGTGTTATTTTTTTGGCCTCATGTCATGTGTTACACTGCAGTTTTAAAGTATGCTTGCATGACTTTAGATTCTGAAGATCATTCTAATTGTGTCGAGTTAAATTTCTATATAAAAAAAATTTTTTTAAAAATTAATTTTTTATTGTTTATTTTTAGCGT